CGCCCTCACCCTGAGCGCCTGTCTGGGGAGGGGCTCCGCCCTTCCAGGCCTGGGGGCCGGGCCCAGGGCAAGAGCAGGACAGGTGAGCCACAGCCCCTGTGCCCCCCCCGCGTCCCCCCTCAGCCCTCTGCTGCCCGGCACAGGTTTCAAGGGAAGGGGACCTGGCTGTCCACCTCCTGGGAGCCTGGCGCCAGCTGCCCGAGGGGCCAGGAACGGGCAGGAGGGGAGCCAGCCCATCCAGCCCATCTGCCACACGCAGGCCTGCCCCCCTGCAGCTGGCATCTCCCCTCCCCTCCCTGGGGGCCGGGCCCATTCCCACATCACAGACCAGCTCAGCAGCCATCTCCACGTTTATTTTGGGATCACAGATGGGAAAGATAAACATCACTGAACAGGGAGGGAACACCAGCGGCCTGGATGGAGGCAGCAGTTCCAGGCGGATGCGGGGCGGGGGGCGGGGGCGGGCAGGCAGAGCAATGGCCGCTGTGGAAGCAGCTCCAGAACATCCCGTGTGAACGGGTGGAGCCGGCGGCGAGCTGGGCCCGGTGCCCCGTGGGGTGCGGGCGGTCACACAAGCCCCGACGTGTCCCACTCACGACTCCATCTTCGGCGATTCCTGTGCCCCTGCCCCGGCCCAGGCCTGTGCGCTGGGGCGGAGCCAGCCGAGCGGCTCTCCCTCCGGCCCTCCAGGGCTCACGGCCGCACTGCCCCGCAGGCGCTCGCTGGGACACGCAGACCGGGGTCATCGCCGAGGCGCGGCTGAAGGAGCTGACGCCGGCCATGCCCGTCATCTTCATCAAGGCCATCCCTGTGGACCGCATGGAGACCAAGAACATCTATGAGTGTCCCGTGTACAAAACACGCATGCGCGGCCCCACCTACGTCTGGACCTTCAACCTGAAGACCAAAGAGAAGGCGTCCAAGTGGGTGCTGGCGGCCGTGGCGCTGCTCCTGCAGGTCTAGCCACTCCCCGGCCAGGCCTGACCGTCATCGCCCTGGGACTAGCATGGACTTACAGGAACTGAGGGCCGCTGTCTGACAACATGGTCAGGGCCTGTGAGCGCAGGCGCACCTGACCAGCCGGACGGTGAGGGGGGCGGCGCGGGGGGGTGTTGCATTAAAACCACTAAGTTACTGAGCTGTGCCTGCCTGTCCCCTGGGCCGGCCGTCAGCTCCACGCTGGTGACCACAGGGCCTGGCCCATGGCACAGGCGTGGACACGGCTGGAGTCCCAGCAGCCAGGGCAAGTGTCCCAGACTGACTTCCCCGGAGGGCCAGTCCGTCAAGTTCTTCCCACCGGCAGCTGGGAGGGAGGGTCAGGACCAGCGGCCGTGCCCCCCAACCAGGCGCTAGGTGCCGATGGCCCAGTAAGGGGACAGGTGTGCCCCATACACAGGAGCGGCCACCTCCAGCCCCCGAAGCAGCATCCATCCCCTTGTCCAGGGGAGAACACTCTCGGCTATGGCGATGCCCCTCCTCACGTAGGTGCCATCTCCACGCAGCTGAAGCGCGTCCCCACCAACTGCCCACGTCCGCACGGGCTGAGCGTGGACCCGGGACCAGCTTAGCCGTGTGTGCTGGGAGCTCACAGGCTTCCACACAGAACCCCACACTGGGCAGCGATTCCGTCTTCCTCATCTCTGTCCCGTCCTGCACGTCTGGTGTCTGCCCCACAGCCTAACTCAAAGCCGGGGGCCCGGAGGGGCCGGGACGAGGGGAGAGAAAATCACCCCTCAGCCCTCCCTCCTGGGCCGAGGGTGGGCTGCAGCCAGGAAGGCAGGAGTCCAGGCCAAGGAGCCCAGGTGCCCAGCAACCACCTCTGCTGGCCAGGAGGGGTCACTGCGGCCCTTCCGTCCAGGCGCGAGGGACAGGAGATGAAGGCCAGTGGCCACCAGGCCCCTCCTGTCAACCTGCGGTAACCACCCCACGGGGAGGTTTCCCAAGTCTACCTTCGGGCCTGAAACAGTGCTCATTCCCACTGCACCCTGGGGGCTGCCTGCGTTCTCTCCAAGATTCCCCCTGGGACCGCCGGTGACAGGAGAGCAGGACGGTAAACCTGCCTGCGTCTCAGCACTTGGCCCTGCACCTGGCTGAGGGGAGCCGGGGATCCAGGGGGCCAGGGCTGAGGTCGGGGGGCAGCCGGGGCCACCCTGAAGGTGATTAGCGGAGAGGCGCGGGGAGGACAGGCCGCGGGCAGGACAGGCCATGGGGAGGGCAGG